TTGTACACAGCATTTGCAACTGCACAATTACCAATTTGACATAGCTCAGCGCTGAATAGCAAAAAAATAGCCTGGTCAGGAAAGGGGGGTAAATCCTCTGGCAGGGCAAGTGGTTAAACAGAACCTGTTTGCTGTACAGTTGTGACCAAAAATTATTTCAACCGACCCACTGAAATTGAGTGTTTTGGCCAGTTTGACATTGCTTTTGATCATTCAGTCATCTTGCTTACATTTACATTAAAGAGGCACTTGTAGGTCAGACAAATATAACATAACAGTTATAATGAAATAACCAAAGACATGTAGCAAAATACATTTTGGCCTAAATTTATGAAGTAATTTTAGTTTATATGATATTTTTTTTACCAGAAAATATCCTTTTTTAAAAATGTTGGGCTTTTTTTGTTTACAGCGCAAAACATAAAAAACCTACAGGTGATCAAATACCACCAAAAAGAAAGCTCAATTTATGTGAAAAAAAGGACATTAATTTTGTTTGGGCACAGCATTGCATGACTGCACAATTACCAGTTGAAATAGCTCAGCGCTGAATAGCAAAAAATAGCCTGGTCAGGAAGGGGGTAAATCCTCTGGAGGGCAAGTGGTTAAACAGAACCTGTTTGCTGTATATGCTGTACATATCTGCCACAGTCCTTGTACGCACAAAACACTGTTAACAGTGGTGAAGGAAGAAATACTCCAGCATCAGTGTGAGGAAAAAATTACCCTGCATTGATGTCAATGTGAGTAAAAAATTCATCTCCACCTGTGTCAGTGGGAGCAGTTGATGGTGATGGTGGAGACAGGCAGTACAGAATGGGGGCAGTTGATGGTGGAGTCAGGCAGTACAGAATGGGTGCAGCTATTAGTGGAGAACAAACTCCATCATTCTCCTCCATGTCTGTTGTCCCTTGTCATTCCCCTCAGTAAAAGCCATGGACTAGCCGTGTCCTTGAGCTCAGGGCACTCAGACAGTTGATAGTCTATTCCCTGTATCTGAGGCCTGGTAAGTGGACTTTAGGGGGGTCTGTACTGGGAGAGAGAGATTTGAGTGGAAGGGAGTTCTCTGAAATGGGGATGAGTTTTGAGTGGAGGGAAATTTTTACAGGGGGGAGAGATTTGCACTGGGAAGATTTGAGGGATATACAGTATACTATGGGAAAGCAGGAGTGATATGTATTGTGGAGGGTTGGGGGGAAGAGATCTGTACTAGAGGGATTTTGGAGGTAGGGTGAAAGGTCTGTACTGTTTGAGGAATTTGTACTGGGAGGAGGTAATTTGTGTTGTACTCTGTACCATAGCCCAACCCCCTCCGGACTCCTGCACTCTGCTTTATGCACTTCTAACCCCTGCTCTCACTGTCTTATGCACTCCTAACCTCTGCACTCTGTACATATTGTTTCTAAAAAGTGAGGGGAGAAAATGCCAAAAATTCAATGAGGTGCCCACCTTGAATTGAATCTCTCTAATGGATTTGCAGACGCCTGTTGTAATAAGTCTTTTAACCTAAATTGGTTAGTATCATGTAAAAGGCAAAGTATCTATCCAGAAGACCTGGGGAAAATGTAGGGTTGCTATGATAAGAGTCATAACCAATATGTTCTACCCCACACCCTGTCACCAACTTCATCTAACACCCTATTGATTCTGTCACCTATCTTACCAACATAAAGTTTGAATTTGGCTCCAGTCTGCAAAGCTGTGCCTGGGCCAATATAGCTAAGGGTGCTATGAAGACAAAAAAAATCCAATCTATCCTGTTGAATGCCTTTTCAGTGTTTGTTGAGAACAAAATGGTAGGTACCTTTCAAGCTTCCTGCAGATGAATGGAATTAAGTGCCCATTTGGTGCAGTTTTTGGCCTCATGACAATGGCAATGAGTTCCATTTGGAATAAACTGATATTCTGTTAAATATGTTTAAAGAAAGAGCTTAAGTGGAACTTCACTCTCAATCAACATGACTATTTTCAATCCTTGTGCTCCTAGCATTAGTAAATAAATATTAAAGTAGATCATATTTTCTTGTTTTAAACTTTTTTTTACATTTCTTAAGTTACTTTCTGGTAAAATGAGGCAAATGAGATCATACATCCCAGGAGTCTTCAGGAGGGGTGGAGTTCTCAGCTAAGCTTGCATTCTTCCTTCATGCTTGAGCTAAAGGCAGATGGATTCAAGGAAGTAAATGATACATGAATCACCTGCCCTTACTCAAGATGGCCATGACCAGAAATACTAGGGGCTGTTTCTCAAAATGATTTCTCAGTAAAATATAGCATTGATGGATGGGCGAGTCTGCTTTGAATAATAAACATGAATTAAATAGCATTTTTAATCTGTGGTGCTCAGATGTAGTGTACTTTAAGGTCAACGTGTAGAAGGAAGGTAAGGCAGATACTAGCTAACTGTGAGGGGTCTTTACCTTCTTCAAATAAAACCATGGTGTGAGCTCTTAATATAGGTCCACACAAGGATGTTGGCCTTTTAATAAGGCATTAAAGGCAGCAAGAAAAGAACACCATATCTCATACTAATCTTGTCTATAATACAACAGGAAAAACCTGCAGGAACGTGGGGCTTTATGTAGTTTCATCTCCTTTAAAACTGCAATAAATTCAGCTTCGGAGAAAGAAGATGACAAGGATTGGCTCACCTCTTTGGTGATTTTAGAATATATCCATTATTTCCAACTTGGTCAACTGATTTTTTTTTTATTGAATTCTCTGAAGCACCTAGCAATTTCAGCTGATTTGTGAACTTTCTTCTCTTTACCTATTTGTAGGTTTTTAGTCTAGTTTCTTTTATGGTTCTAGCCAGTGCCTTATTCGGTTTATTGCCAAACTCATAAAAGGCACATTGTGTACTCATTAGTTTTTTCCACAGAATAGCCTATAGTCTCTCTCAGTACCATTACTTCCATTGTCATTGTTTTGGCAAGGATTTTTTGCAGGGTTTCAAGATAATGCATTTGATCCAGTAGCATCCCTAATTGTTTCCCTCACTGTTTCTGGAGGTATGTACATTGGGCTATCAAAATGCCCATTTTGTAATATTTATGGGAATCCCACCAAGTCTTTGAGGCTATAAGTTCCCTGAGATAATGTGTCCATTCCCTGCTGTATAGCATCCTTAATTTGATTATCCTGAAAATTCAAGCTATTTACCCTCCAATGCCATGGGGAAACGTGATTTGTGTTTTGAGAACTTGTATCCCAGCAGGATTTTAATACTGACTAGAGCATATCTGAAGTAGTGAGAACTTCTATAGTAAAGGATGAGAATTTTGGTAACTCAGACTATCTGACAAGGAAAAAGTCCAACCTTGAGTAGAAATTGTGGGCAGCAGAGAAGTGTAGTTCCTTTTCTTCTTATGTAGCATATGCCACATACACCCATCTTTCTAAATGACACAGCTGTTTACATTTCTGTAGGAACGAGTATGAAATGTGTGATTCACTTCTAAACTAATCCACCAGGGGGGCTATAGCCAGATCAACACCTATACAGGACAAAAAAATCTATACGGGACTCTAAATAGGCTATTTAATGTGAATTAGGGAAGTAAACATTCACAAGTGTGCTTAAAGTACCTCCAACAGAACCAAATGAAGAAAGAGGACTTTCATGGTTAGAAACAGCTTATGTTACACAGGGATTGGAAACAAAGTGTTTAGAACGGAATCTAGCAGTATATTTGAACAGCCCCTCTTGTCTCAGCAACTGTTGTCTGGCCTTTATAGAAGATAGGAGACAGTGGGCCTGATCTGCTAAAGAAAATGTTTGTATTCTGTTGCACCAATGTGCCCATATACCTGATTAAGTAACCAAAGCATATTTTCACAGTATTTACTAAGTACACATGACAAACTATGATGACACACAGTACATATGGCTAATTCACTAACAAATGTAGTTTGCTAAGCAGCATATGCTCTAGCACATGAAAATATGCCAGATAAATGGAATATTCTATAATGTTTTTAGAACTCTGTTAGCAGAGTTACATGAGCATTTCATTCAAGACCAATATCGCATGAAGTGTGTAATAGTACTAAAGGTGACTAAAACATACAATAAATAATTACCCCTCTCACCACCAATGTTGTTTAACTCTACTTCCCTAAAGTAATAATCTTGTTAAAGAATCTTTAGCAATTGGCATACTTGTTAAGTGTGTTCGATGTCTGGTTCCCTGCTGTGTTAGGTGGTCCTTCTGCTTGTCCCTGCATTACCACTTTATACTATACTGGCAAAGGGAAACAAAATAAAAAAAAATTGGAATTCTCATTGGTTTATGCCATTAACACTCACATCCAGTGTGGTCACCAATGGCCAAAATAACTTTAACAAAACAATATACCTATGGCTTGGGCACCACTGGTTAAAAGATTGAGACCGAAGGCATGTATTAACCAGATCAATTTATATTAAATCTGTTTTATCAAAAATTCAGAATCAATAATATGCTCAATAACTGAGCCCTAATACCACATATAAATACAAAAATATGTCCTTAATTTTTGATAATGAAGATTAATATAAATTGATCTGCTTAGGTCACCTTCAATATGGTCACCTTTTACCAGTGCAGTGCAGGTAAAAAAAAGTTGCATGTAGACACATGACATAGTTAAGCATTCATGATGTTTTTAACATAATACTTTTTATGCTCTGTACCTACAGGGCCAGCGCCAGCATAAGGGGGCTTATGGGGGGGATGCACCTTATCCTGTGACCTGTTCAACTAACATCCCTCCAGTGCCTCTTCCTCTCCCACTCACTTCCAGTGTTTTTCCTTCTCTCTTCTAATCCACAACTCTGCCTCCTCCCCTCCCTCAGCCTGTATTTCCAGCACTGTCGGTCCAGTGCTCAGTGCTCTTGACTCTCCCTGTCTGCTGTGCGGGGACTTCCTGCAGGACCAGAGTGCTCTCCTACCACCAGGGAACTCCACTCCTCACATCCTCCTCACTATGTAGCACCCATTCAATCTGCTGAGGACTTGTGTGTTCTTTTTCTTTAGATATTTCTGCGTGGTGGTCAGTGACATTAAGCATTCAATAAATGTGTATCCTTTGAATGGTTACTATTCATTTATTGACATATATATTAGTACACTGCTGGTAGCTTTTGGGTTGTTTCTTTAAGTTTACTCTGTTGGTTACCTTGGCTGTACTATTCACTTTTTGGCACTCTGATATCTGTGGGTGGCTTGGATTAGTGCAGGTATATTATATCCTATTTTTGTGGCATGAGATAGGGAACTGGGACAGCAGCAGCGGGCTTACCACGGAGCATGGGGGCAGCTTGCGGTACCAGAGTATGGGACACTGGACACTGAACGTTCCCCCGTAACCAGGGCTAGAGAGCTCTACACCAGCCAGACAAGTGACAGCATCTCAGGCACACACAACATAGGAGAGCAGGAGGGGGAGAGGTTTAAACACGGACACATTAGGGGAAGAGAATGGTAGAGGATGTGCTGAGATCCATACATATATCCATATCACCTCTATATATCAGAGTGCTGTACAACTGCTAACCCCTCACTATGTACTGACCCCTCACTATATGATCATGAATCCATTACAGATTACTTTGCTGGATAAGAGCAGATCGGGGTTCACAAAGGGCCCCACCACAGTATTATCCCAAGTATTTGAGGCGATCGCATGTATACCTGGGGCCTCCAAAATTAAAATTGCATCCTTTGTGCCATAGTACCCAGTGACTGGGGGGGTCACAGGCTGGAGAAGTGAATGGCATTAAAGTGATCACCGGTAGCACCGGATTTTGCACCCTGACAATGAGTACTGCTAGTTATAGCTCACTGACCACCAGTACCAGTAGATTTAATATCCTGCTAACCAATACAGCTTATTCTGGGGCCACAATCATCAGTATTGTCAGTTTCAGCACTCAGATCGCTAGAACTGCAGGTTTTTGCACCCCGGCTGCCAGTTTTAGACCCCGATCACCAGTCCCCTAGGTCTTGGCACAATGATCACCAGTCTCGTTTTTGAAACCCAATCACCAGACTGCTGAGGGCCAGCGACAGCATAAGGCTGCTTAGCCACCCGCTTTAGGGTGCCTGGCTGCTTCACCTATGTACACAAAAATCCTTGCACAGGCCCTGTGTATTGTGCAGTATACCAAAATGTAATGCTTGTACAAATGAGCCCTTACAATGCTAATTCATTCTTAAAGCAGTAGTAAACTAAAAAACCAAAAAAAAAAATGTGCTAGTATGCATTGAATACTAGCACATTATGAATGACTTACCTTAAAAAGAAGCCCTCCAGCAGCATGCTGTCATCACTGCAGAGGCTTCAATCTTCAACCGGTCTTCCTTCTGGGTTTGTGAGCTGTCACCACTTGAATGGCCGGCCCACGATTACGTCACTCCCATGTATGTGAGCGGGAGTGTCAGCTGCGGCACATGGTTCTGAAGGAACGGCACGTTTGTGCCGTTCCCTCTGGGCGCAAATGCCGGTGATGTCATTAGATGTGCTGGTGATGTCACTAAAATATCTCCTAAATGATCTTAGATTGTAAGCTCCAAGGAGCAGAGCCCTCCTAACCCTCTTGTATTGAACTGTATTGTTGCTGTATTGTCTTCCGCTATATTGTAAATCACTGAGCAAACTGTTGCCGCTATATAAATCCTTTATAATAATAATAATAAAAAATGTGCATTCATTTTACCTATAGTTAAGCTTTAATATGTAAAAGTAAAAAATGAGAGTTTAAAATATTGGTCTTATTTACATACCCTGTAGCATCACCATAGTCCTTCTCATTTACAGAGTGGGAGCCAGAAGAATGCTTTTGAGATGCTTTAAAGCTCTGTTCATACTCTATGTCATTTAAAGTGCAAAACGATTCCATGCATTGATCTGCAAAAAAAAAATGCAGATATTGATAAGTGCTTGTTGCTGTCATAATCATATACACAGTATATAAAAAAGAAGCAAAACATATATAGCAATATACAATTTTGACATAGATATTTAAATATTATTTATGTATGTATTTATTTTTAAGATTTGGGTACACTGGGGAAGTGACACAAAAGAGTGCGAAGGGAAGGCAACAATACAATAAAACCTTTACTAACCTTCTCAAACCTAAAGAAAAGGTTTAGCTGAAGTTCCACTTTTATTTTGTTTATCCTATTTGAAACAGCAGCATTTACAGTATATTTCAAAGATATACACTAACCAAGCATCTTTGGTACTCAAGGACAGTTCATTCTTGCTAATAGATACTGCACAGCTCAAGAAGGTAATGAGTTTGAAGCTTAGCTGTACAGTTAAAAGTGTGGGCTAGTGTTCATTATTATAAACTTGATGTCAGTGAAAAAAATGACAATTTTATGCCATATTTCCAGATGTTCTACGAGCTGATCTGCTACAGGGTGACAACATTTAGAGAAATGCTGGAAACACTACTCTATTAGTATATTATTTTTTTTTTTTTTCAATTCTTCAGTTAAGCCTCCTATTTTCTTCTGTGATGTCAAGTTCAGCAGCTGCAAACCGACCGAATACTAATTTGTCCATTATTCAGATTCACAAAGTCTGTTCAAAAAGGAAGGCTAGTGGGAAAGTGATGCCGTTTTCTGCCTCTACAAAGCTCATTTAGGGACTGACTAGTTTCTTTACCCTTTTATAGCCCTCTAGGGCTTTCCTTTTTGATGAGGAAAACAGCAGTTCATTACTGTATTGTTATAGTTAACATTTCATAATATTTACCAAATTAATTTTTAATAAATATTTAATTTTGTTTGGTACAGGAGAATAGTAGCATTTCTTTCTTCTGAAAAAGCACCTACTTACTGTGGTGAAGGATTTAATGAGACACTGTCATCTGCCCATTCAGGGCAGGGTGACAGTGCCTCCTGATAGCCCTCCTCCTCCTAGCAATTTTGTTTGAAACCGCCACTCACCTTAGTCAATCCTAGTATGGATGTGTACATGTGAAATGCTCAGTCAATGCCGCTCCTCGGGGCATGCCCCCTGATATGTTTCGCCCCACCCCCTGGAGGCTTAATCATAGCAGTCGAAACATGTCAGGTAGGTGGATTGAAATATGTCATGGGGCATGGCCCGAGGACCGGCATTGACTGAGGCTTTCACATGTACACATCCATACTAGGATTGGCTAAGGCGAGCAGCGGTTTCAAGCTAAAACATTCCTTGCTCAATGGATGAGCTTTTCTTACGCTGGCTGCCAATGGGGCTCTACACATCAGCCTAGAGCGGCACCACCAAGAACTTATGCCCCCCCCCCAGCAAGAGACACTCACCAATCCACCTTCCCTCACTGTCCCCCACTGCAGTGATGATCACCTGGGTGGATAATGTTACTGCCTCCCAACATAATAGTGTTCAGGCAAGCCCAATAAAATACTTACAACAGAGCTGTTTTTATGGCCAAATGATTTGTATTTCTGTTCATCTAGTCCTGACATTAATACAGCCCCATGGCACAGCGTAGCCAGACAGGTGACACCCCTTTCTCTATTACAGTTATAGACTATAGAAGGAATTCATAGCAGCATTCATTTGTTCCTTTAATATCTGCCTGGTGATTAGCTTTAACTTTGACTCACAAGCCAAGCACTAGCATGTTTTGATTATGTTGTAACAAATCTATGCATTGCCGGTAAGGTCTGAGTAATGGACATGTAATTGGAAAAGTGGAAATGTATGTTCCAGATCAACATGAATCAGCATGAATTTAAAGTTCCAAATTACAGTATATTTTTTAGCAAAACAGAGCCTGGAATCATTCAACTAGGGATTAAAAACCCATGGCTCTGACAACTGTGACAATAACCAGAAGATACATCTATGTAAAGCCAGCTTTACTCATACATACTCCTTGTTATTCATAATTAGAGATAACCGAGTGGATCTGCTGGGTTCAATATTTACAGTGAACTGAGTTGATATTTGGCTAGTGGATGTCTGCATATAATTTCCATTTCAGACATAGTCTACAGTTCATCTTTTCAAACTAACTGAAGACCTTCTACACAATAAAACTAATAATTTATTTCTATGTAAATTCGAAGTGCATGTAGATGTAGACCTGTATAAGGAAGATAATAAGACATGTCTTCATTTCTATGTATATGTGGATTCACTTTTTCCCATGCTGATTGTATTGAAATTTGGGAGGATGTACTTTTTATGTGTTTTATCCACAGGAACTTTTAATTTTTATTTGTTGTTTTATCCTCAGGAACTTTTACCACTTTTTCATCTATATTGTCTATGATTTTGTAATGATGGACTTTAAGTCCAGCCCATCAGTACTGAAGATAAATACAGCAAAGATCTGTTTTTTAATTTCTCTCCCCTGCTGTGGGCCCTGGGCAGGACATGGAAGACCTAGACTGCTGGACCCTTAGCAACCCAAGGCAAGAAGGAACCTGACTGGTCAGTTGAGCCAAGGAGCAATCTATCTTGCTGATGGGTATTTAGCCCTGACCACCAGACAGAGTGTGGTGCAGGCAGTTGGCTGGCACTTGTGTGGGAGAGCAGAGAGTACCCAGAGAGTGTCCACAGAACCGGCACCCACATGGTGTGTGCGGGGTGCCTTGGGACACGCTTTGTCTGGCTAATTCAGAACTGGTTGGAGTGCGCTGCCAGCTATAAGAGCCCAGGATAAAAGGCGCTCAGTGACTGCTGCTGCTGCAAAGATTGCGCATGTCAGGAGTAAGTACTGCACAGATTGCAGTGGTCAGACAATAACAAAAGTAAACAAGTGAGTGCAGAGGTCAGGTCAGAAGTAAGTATTTCACAGACTGCAGGGTGCAAGATAAGTTCAGCTGCAGTACTTTAAATTATATTGTACCTTGTCCTTTGGCCCAATAATTTCCCCCACTGAAAGCCTAATGTCTGTCCATCACATTTCCTCCCTGTTGTGGGTACCCCTCAACATTGTCCCCAGGCACTGGGCAGTGTAGCTTAAACGTTGCAGCACACAGGCACCAACTCAACAGTGAGACTGCAGACACCTAGAAATATAGTTTGCAACTCAACCTCTAGCTTTGCTAATTTCATTTAAAGCTTGGGCAATGCCACTGTTGAGTTGGTGTATGCTCACTGCAAGGTATATGCTATGCTGTCAGGCTCCCAGGGATGACACCGGGGATGCCTGTTTCCCAGGGACAGACACCTTACAATAGGGACTGTTTCTAGGAAATGGACACAAATGATAACCTTAAACTGGAAAGTCTAAGGTTCCTAATCTAGAAACTACTTCGGTCCAGAACAAATTACTCTAAGGGATGCATGGTATATCTATCGGTCTTTAACCGCTTTAAGCATCAACATAAATCAGAGAACATTTACCTGAAACAGCCATATGTCATGAGATAGAGCACTATGTAAATCAAATTAATAACAAAATTCTGGTTCCCTCGAAACCTAAAGAACTAAAGTTCATCATGTGAATGATAAAGGAGAACATGGTTTAAAATGTCTTCAGTCACCCACTCAAAAACAAGTTAAATAAAATATTTTAACTGGATTCTGATTCTGTGTGAATCAGCTTTTTTTAAGCAATACTGTTCTTTGACCAGGAAGTATAGCAATTATACAAAAAAAACAATCAGGTAAAAAATGTGAGTACCTTCAAAGGCTCTAGCAGCATTTACAAGTCGTGGCCAATCCAAACCCGCTGCTGATTCTGGAAGGGGCATTAAATCTGGATCATTAAGTTTTGACTTTTCAGACAGTGACCCATCAGAAAACCAACAGTCTTCTAGGTGAGAGACAAAAAAACACATAAAACACAACTATGTCAGGGGAAGTGTGTCTTTAAAATTACATCCATTGGCAGCTTGAAACTTGTTAAAAAGTATTTGACAATCTGTACTATCTTTGGACATTAAAGATTGAAAACTAACATTACAAACAAATTCCCTTTAAAACCAAACCCCATGTCACTACAAAACTTCATACCAACCATGATGATAAGCACGGAAACAGTGATAATTTGGAATTACTTTGCAGCTTCAGGACCAGGAGTCTTGAAGATAATTGTGCCTACAGTGAGTCTCTCATTGTACAATTGATAGGAAACAGCAAGACCTTAGAAAGGAACTAGTGCAGGGATCTCCAAACTATGGCCCTCCAGCTGTTGAAGTACTTCAAGTCCCATTATGCCTCTGCCTCTGGGAGTCTTGCCTGTGTCTGTCAGAGTCTTGCATGGCCTCATGGGACTTGCAGCTCCTCAACACCTGGAGGGCCATAGTTTGGAGACCCCAGTCCTAGAGCAAACAAATAAAGGTAGCCACTGACTTGTTTTTGAAAGTACCTGTTCTAGAGCTGTCCTCCTTATGCTTCCTTCACTAATAGTTAGGTCACTGGCCTGAAACAACCACGTACAAAGCAGTTTTTTTTCCTGATCTGGTATTCATGTACATAGTTGCTCATAATGAATCCACAATAAATATGCACCTTCAAAAATCAGCAGTAGAAGCTCCCATGTTTCTGTTCTAACAGATTCCCATTCAGTTTAGCTTGAATTGGATCGTGCATTAAAATTCCAAATTTACAAATGAATGGCTAACATTTATTGTCTTTTTACTGGGTTTTGTTTTACATTTCATTGAAAACAGTATATTATACCGACTGTGAATGGCTAACATTCAAAATAATTGATTTAAGACAGGCTGTAGATACAAACAACCTGAGAATCATACGGAAAGTGCCTGATTCTAACATCAGTAGTTGGACCATTTTTGGTCTCCTCTGAGGTGATAAAGAACTCATACAGCCATTACAGGAGCCTCCTATTACACACTATATCCGGAGAGAGACTGTTAAATGCAAATGAAAAGTTATTGCTGTTAAAACAAAACTTGAATGGCTTTGTGGCCCACTAAAAAAGTGCCTGCTGGTCTTCTTCCTGAAGACAGAGAGCTATTCCCTGGACCAGAGTAAATGAAAGAGATGATGGGAGACCCAACCAATATTATAGGAAATGTATACACAGTAACTAAATGGCCCAAATGACTGCAGTGCAGATCACTCATTATTTGAGAGTAGTGGCCATCATCAACCCTGATTCATGCAGATTTGTTTGATGACTGCCTAGCCTCTGTTATGTTGGGAAGACAAGTGCCAGTATAAAGTTATCTTCGACCATCAAAAATCAGTCTGTCATTGTTTTGGGCCCTGTAAACATGTCTTTGTAAATAAAATGCTATCAAATAACTATTAGAAACGAAATAATCTGGGGACCCCAAAAATAATTGTGGGGTCCTATTTGGGGTACTGATCCAAAGGTTTCCAATAAATATAAAACAAGAGATTTATATCATTTTTCTAAGCACTCTACACATACATACTTTGAAACAGGTGAAATAAGCATTTAAAACAAAAGTTAATAGCATATAAGAAAATACATACTTTTTAGATTTGCCAATCCAGTGTTCAAATCATTCAGAATAGGAGGTGTACTGCTATATGGGGGTGTTGTGCTGAATAAGATATCATTTGTTGAAATCTGATCAATTATTGAACTATGGAAGTTGGCATAGGCAGGTCCCCTACGGTTACTGCATATACTCTCATCTGAAAGTGTCCTGTAAATTGAAGGCCTTGGTGACAAAGTTCCATAAACTGAGTACTAGAAAGAAGAAGAAAAATATAATATTCAATGCATGTTAACTTTTGTTTATTTAAATGGTTATGTCATATATATTACAATTATTCACTTTTTTGAATAAACTTTTCCTAATTTATAACTCAGTTCTCCAAACTCTGGAAAGGTAAATTTTTGAAAGTGTACAGAGGAGCGCCTGGTACAAAAGTTCATCTCACTTACAGGACATTTTGAAACATTTAATTGCTAAGAGCATCAAATTGGCCGAGATGAAACGTGTGGCATCATTTGCTCACCTCTTCACCTTGGCCAGTCAACGAATGCCTTGAATTAATTAATAAAAATGCAAGGCACTCCCACTTCCGAATGGCTGATTTACCATATGACCAACTCAATTTCTTCCCAGCCATACAAATGAAGTGAGTAGGACTCGGCTGAAGCACAGCACACTACCATAGGCAGCATAAACTGTTGCACTGTATTACTGGATAAACAGTTGCCAGAGCTTTCTGTGACAAACAATAATTGTTCGAACCACACTGACCCACATTAAGTTTTATAAAAAGTCACACACTGAAGTCAAGTGCAATTCTTCTGTTAGTGGAGAATTCCCTGGAAAATTAAATTGCATTTTTTTGTTAAATTTTGATATTTTTGATATTCTTGGTATTCCTTTTTACCATTTTATTTTCTCCTTTTTAGCTAATTAATACCATGTTGATAGAAATAGAACAAGATTGATGATTGCTGTGTTGTTTCTTACTCTGTTCTCTGTTACTATGATGTATGTTAGCCATGTCATGTCTACAAAATTGTATAATATACAACTTAGCTTTCACTGTATGTATTACTCCAATCAAAAATCAAATCAAAAATTAATTGAGCCAAAAAAAACAAAGAATGCTCCCCTAGAAATCCAAGTTTTGTTGGGTCATATTTAAATAAATGAACACACTGAAAACTGAGACACATATGTGTCTTCACGAATCAAAATAAAGTTATGTACCAGCTGTCTGAAAGCATCTTAAGATAATAAGCCGCTTCTAGATCCTGGCCTGATTAAGGTAATCAACAATGTCAGCTGGAGCTAGAGAGACAAAATGACCTGTGGTGATGGTAGAACTGGCTTGTCTCATGTCTATGAGAATACAGTCCTTTTTAAGGTCTTTAAAATGTGGACACAGCAAACAACAAAAAAAAAAATTTCATCTCTTACCCCTGGTTCACACATATGCGGCCGTGCAGGCCGCATTTTGCGCAGGCAGGAGAGCCCATTCATTTGAATGGACTCCCATGCCCATGACACGCAGGGAAGAAGTCCCTGCACTTCTTCTGAAAACGCAGCCCGCACGAGAACCTCGGTTGCCAGTACGGTTGCGTTTTCCAGTGCGGGCGGCACCCGCCCGCGGGTCTGCATTCCCCCGTGCGGTTGGTGCGGCTGCACGGATTTTCATGCGGATCCGCAGCAGCACCATCCGCACATATGTGAACCTAGCCTTAGGGCTCGTTCACACTTGACTAATTTCTAACCCTTTCCAAACACCCTATGTACGTTTTTGAGGCGTTTGATAGGCGTTTTCCAAGCACTAAAACCGCACCACAAATGCCTATAACGAAGTTAATGGTATTAACACCCCGCAAACACCTTGCAAACGCCTCACAAACGCCTGCCAAGCATTTGAGGAGCGTCACCATAGACTTGAATGAGAGGCGTTGACAGACTTCAACTCTTCCTGACTGGACATGAGGCATCAATTTTGCCGCGACGCAACTCTAACGCTTCATTGTGAACAGCACTGTGTGCTGCCATGTGGTTTAATTTTCATAGGTGTTTGAGGAAAAACGCCCCTCAAATGCCTGCAAAACGCCTGCCTACTAAGCTAGTGTGAATTTAGCCTAAGTCTCTTCAAAACACTATAAGTACAGAAAAATACCTGTTTTTTTTTCGTAGACATGGATACTTTATAGTCCTCTCGTGCACAGACTATGGACAGGTAAAAAGTACTTTGAAACAAGCCCTCCCTGACCTTTCCAGTGGCTCAAAGAACCTCATACATTGCAAGAAAGTATGTTATCAGTTTGTTTCTAGTTTAGGATTATCTGCTGTGTATTTAGAGGTCTGGCAGGCTGCCAAGATTCTGCTCTTCAAAGATAGTAAAGAATAAATAACTCAAATTTCTTTGCCTGTGTAATTGAACTTTGAAGATTAATTTACCCATAATTTTTATAGATACAGAGAGGAATGGGGTTTTACGGCTTGTTACTGCTTGCTTGTTCACAATATGTAATACTTTAGTTTATACAGTCCATACATACACAAGTCTACTTTTGGAGTGCAAGCTATGGATAATATCCTAAGTGGAGGCTCAGTAACTTTTTAAAATATATCCTGAGTGTCAACGTATTGTAATCCTGTGGAGACCTTATGTCAAAGTGTTCCCTATCATGTGATTACCTTGTCAGTCAATCACATGGCTTTGTTTGTAAACAGGTTTCTGTGAGTACTCATACTGCACATAGAAATAAATATTTTTCTTAAAAACGACAGAATAATATTAATAATAGGAAGAAGAATGAATATACAAGCACAACAATATGTACATAATTTTTAATTCACTTGTCAGCCTTTAATATTAAATCTTAGCAGAATATTTATTTAAACATTGTACCAAACATAACCTTATATATCCTTAATATAACAATTGAAAATTATTTAAGCAGACAAAGGCGTTGATTTAATAAAACTGGAGAGTGCAAAATCTGGTGCAGCTCTGCATAGAAACTAATCAGATTAAAAATTTTTTGTCAAAGCTTAACTGCTTCCCAACCGCTCTATAGGAGAACTACTGCTACTTTGTGGCAGGGCTGTGCAAAATCACGTATATATGTGATTTTGCATTTCCAGGTAGGGGGCACGCTCTGCCCTACCCGCGCCGCCATTGACGGCTACAGATGTTGGCCACCAGGTCCCGGTTGGAGATCCCCTGCTGGCATCCGGCAATCGCCTAGTATCACTGACAGGGGAGAGACCTGTGTGTAAACAACACAGGTCTCTCTCCTGCTAGGAATAAAAAAAATTTTTCTTTTAAATTCCAGTATATATACTGCCATTTGTAGATGCTATGACTTTCACGTTAACCAATTAATTTGCATGTATTGGGATTTGTTTTAGCAAAGACATGTAGCAGAATACATTTTGGCCTAAATTTATGATGAAATTTGATTTTTTAAATTTTTTTACTGAATAGGTTTTATAGCAAAAAGTCAAAAATATATTCTTTCCAAAATTGTTGGTCTTTTTTTGTTTACAGCACAAAGAAGAAAAAATGCACAGGTGATCAAATATGATTGAAAGAAAGCTCTATTTGGGTGTAGCATTGCATGAGCACGCAATGTCAGTTAAAGTAACGCAGTGCCGTACCACAAAAAAAGCCTGGTCAGGAAGGAGGGTAAATCCTCTGGAGGGCAAGCGGTTAATTGAACAAGCTGAATTTAGAAACTCATTAGCCACAATGTACAGCTGCACCAGAGTTTGCACTCTCTGGTTTTAGTAAATCAAAGTAGTACCAATGTAGTGATGGTATACTATTAAGTTAATCATCACATACTGATGCTGCAGAATTTGGTTGGGGCATCTGCACATCAATGACTTCTGGACAGGACAGTGTTAAGAAAGGATCATTATATATACTGTGTGTGTGTATATATATATTATATATACACACACCCACCAGCCACTTTATTAGGGACACCTGTTCAATTGCTTGGTACACAAATTGCTAATCAGCCAATCACATGGAAGAAACTCAATGCATTTAGGCATCTAGACGTGGAGAAGACAACTTGCTGAAGTTCAAACTGAGCATCAGAATGGGGAAGAAAGGGGATTTAAGTGACTTTGAACGAGGCAAAGTTGTTGGTGCCAGATGGGCTCGTCTGAGTATTTCAAAAATTGCTGATCTACTGGGATTTTCACATACAACCATCTCTAGGGTTTACAGAGAATGGTCCGAAAAAGAGAAAATATCCAGTGAGCAGCAGTTGTGTGGGCGAAAATGCATTGTCAGAGGTCAGAGGAGAACGGGAAAACTGGTTTGAGATGATAGCTAGGCAACAGTAACTCACGTCAATATGGACCGAAATCTTGGAGGAATGTTTTCAACACTTTTTTGAATCTATGCCACAAAGAAATAAGGCAGTTCTGAAGGCAAAAGGGGGTCCAACCCAGTACTAGCAAGGTGTACATAATAAAGTGGCCAGGTACTAGTAAGGTGTACCTAATAAAGTGGCCAGTGTGTGTATACATATATATGCTTTGTATTATCTGTCCTTTTATTTCCATATTGGGATGGGAAAATTCCCAGCTATTGACCAACAGAGATTTATTAAGCTGATCTGCTGCCTGTCTGAATATGGAGATTTTTATATTGTGTATTTGTTTAGGGCTGAAACAAGTGCTCAGTTTCTCCTCGACATCAATGTATGTGTTAGTGGATGCTGTCATTGTTTCAAAGGTATCATGGACCTTTTTCTACGGCTAAATAAATCAGCAGAGCTTTCCGCTTGTCAACATTTGTGACACCTAAAGTACTGCAGTCAGAATAAGAGTCAAAGGCAAGAAAACTGTATTCATATCACTCAGCCATGCAGCATGCTTTGCAGTGGTTTCACAGGTATGTAAAATAGAGAAAATAATGATGACACTGCATCCTTGTCACCATCTGTAGTGTTTGTGACTCTCGCAAATCTGGCAAGTTTCATATCTTAGCTCATTTGCATGCTAGTATCATAAGATGGCTGTCCCCAGCAGGGAGGTAATGCCATTGTGCCAGCATTGTAGTCTGACAGCAGACAGTACCACAGAGGATAAACAACTACATGGAATAACGAACACTAATAACACTACAATTCTTTCAGTGTTACTCTCTGAATGCAGATACAATATTGTTCTCATTTTCAGCTTTAAAAAGATAGCTATACACTAATAAAATGTCATCTGAAATTTTTTTGTTTCAATAACCTTC